ATGAGTCGATCCACCTACACGTCTTGCTTTTACTATTATATTGAGAGTAACTCCACGTATTGCTTGACGTAAAACGGATGGTGAATTTGTTTATGTTTTTTGTTAAATCTTTTTCACGGCTCGATAGATAATTTGATAAGCCAATGATTTTTTTCCATGTTTCAGAATACGGTTGACCAACATGTTAACTAATCGATTACGATAAATTGGATCGGATTTTACTGGGTTTTTTTTTCTGCAATACCTCGAAACTATTTGACCATTTTTCAAATTCAAAATGATTTTTTCGCTAGAATATGACATGCATTTCTCGTATTATAGGTTTTGATATTTTAGCAAAAAAAATCATTTTGAATTTTTAAAAAACTCATTTATGACTATGTTCCAAATAATTTTTTCTCAATATTATACATTTTTATAAAACTTTCTATTTTTTTCATTCCCTATTGAAAACAGCTCATTTCAGTCATTGACCGTGAAATCCTAGCTAGCTTATTCAATTTTATGCTCAATAATTAGGTTACGTAGTAATTGTACCAATGAGGCCTAGTTACTACTCATAATTTATTAATTATTTGAGTTAATGCGATTCAAGGTCCTTCGAGTTTGGTGGTTTCGCCACGTTTAATTTTAAAATTTCAAATCGACTATCCATGGTCTTTCGAGTTTTGAATTTTGATCTACCGTAGTCCTTTCGTTAACATCTGCTGTTTGCATCGTGAAAAGTAAGAACAAAAGAGTCTTTTTTATTTCCATCCCAACCAAAACAACTAATTTTCCTCAAGATTTAGCCATAATATCCAATTCGTACGTCTTCTTTAGCCCTAATCCGACATTCGTACGACTAAAGAAGAAGTACGGTTCGGAGATTAGGGCTAAATCTTGAAGGCGTAAATCGGTTATTTTGGCTGGGATGGAAATAAAAAGACTATTTTGCCTTTACTTTCCACGGTGCAGACAACAGATGTTAACGAAAGGATTACAACATGTCAAAATTTGAAACTCAGAGAATCACGATTGATCGATTTGAAAGTTTAAAATTAAACGTGGCGAAATTGCCAAACTCAGATCACCTTACATGGCATTAGCTCTTATTATTTTATCTTGAGTGATCCTTTATTTCTTTTCCTTTAAAATTATTAATTTATGTTGAGTGATCCTTTATTTCTTTTCCTTAAAAAATTTGGGTAGTGTTTAAACTCACTTAGTTAGACACTGCTATTCTCTCATGCTATTCAATACATTAATTAAAGCAACTATGTTGCCCATGATGTTTTATTTATATACTTTAATTTAATTTAGGAAAAATGGTACCTTTTTCCCTAAGGATTCGTTTGGTTCGCGGAAAATATTTTAAGGGAAGTGGAATTGAAATTTCATGGAAAAACAATTACTAGGAAGATGAATTTTATTGTTTGGTTGGTGGAAAAAGAATTATTGAGAATACTAATTCTATTATTTAGTTAGATTTGGAATCGTAAGGAATAACGAGTATAAAGACCTATATGTCCCTACAAATTAATAAATGTAATATAATTTAAAAAAAAAAAAGTAAACAAGGATAAAATAGGCATTCCATCTCATTTTTTCTTCCCATCTTCCATGGAAAACAAAATCATTGGTCCAACCAAGGATTTTGTTTTCCTCAAATTTGAGAAATTCAAATGGAAAATGAATTCCATGAACCAAACACAAGAAAACAACATTTTCCTCCACTTTGAGGAAAATGTTGAAACATTTTCCATGAACCAAACATCCCCTAAGTTGTTTACGTATAGCATATTTTCTCTCTGTGTTATTTATGTAACTACTTTATCCCCCTCAATTGTTTCTAAAGTGACTATTTCTTCTCACCTCTATTAAATAAATGTTTGGGCGGTTAAACATGAGGGTAAAAATGACATTTCACTTATTATTATTATTATTATTATTATTATTATTATTATTATTATTATTATTATTATTATTATTATTATTATTATTATTATTATTATTATTATTATTATTATTATTATTATTACTATTATTATTATAGATAGAGGGGTTGTTCACCGCCAAATCTACTCCACGCCCTAATTACAACTACTTTCCCTTAATTCTTATTGATATCTAACCCTAATTCTCTATAAAATGCACAATTATATTGCAAACCAAAGTCATTATTAACAATTTGCAGGTAAGGACTAAGTGTACCCCAGCTATGTAATTGGCTGATTATTATAGCAATATTAGATTAGATTAAGGCTTAGCTTAGTTGGTTCATGTCTAATTGAAGATATGTTGGAATATAACCTATGTCAACCGTGCCCGAAGTATATCATGTGCATCCATTTTAAAGTTGGCAAGGAGATAACAACTTTTTAAGCAATTTAATTACAATTTTGTTCAAATCGATGAGAGATCCAATGGTTATGATCTCTCAAACTAGTCTCAAGGGTGAAAAAGTAAATTGATCCACGTGGAAATATCTATATTCCAATTTCACCAAAAATCAGAGTATGGAATTTTTTTTTAAAGTGGGTTTTAGAAATAAACTCATATTGATTGAAATATTATCTCTTAGCATTATTGGGTTTTTACATGAGAAAAATTCTCAAATCCCTCTCAAGATGAATCATCTTCAACATTGATCTAAACTGATATTGAGAGAAACACTTATGTGATTTTATCACATCTTGAACTGTATTCCATGTTAGATGTTGTGCAGTGCTGGGTGAATTAAGAAGTTGGACAGTTCTTGTGAAGATCTCCAAATTTCATCAATCCATCTATGTTGTTTGTTGAGTGGATATTGTACAGTATGAGGTGTATCATATACTGGTGAGATCATTTCTCTTACTATTTGTTTAAACACTACTTGATATAGTGGATTGTATTCATCGTTGGTGGTCCCCCAAATATAGATGTTGATTGCATCTTCCCTGGGTCAACAAATTCTATGTTGATTGCATTTCGTTATCATTTGATTTATGTTTGTTGTTCAATTATCTAAATTGTTAACTAGTAAATCAGACTATGAAACAGTGAGTGAATTGAATGTAAATTCCAGAAAACTGAATTATCCTATTATATTTGATAAATATTGAAATCTCATAAGTGGTCGAGGAAATTCGTAAGAGACATTTTGTGCGACTAAGGTTTTATAAATCCTATATACACATATCAATGTGAATTTTCTACTTTTAGGTGTTTAGCTAATACAATAAGGAAAAGAAAAAACCCACGATTTAAGGAGTTCAGTATCAGACAACGACATGAATTTCTAACAAAAGATAACCTGACACACAACCCAATGGCCAATACACGTTAGACAAAGACTACCCATTTGAATTTTGTTTCCCTCCATTGGACAGATTCAAAGAAGTTTATAAATATCTCATTTCAAGTCGAAAAATGTGTTGGTCAATTTCTAAGAAGTTGTATACTTACAAGAGAATTCAAAAGCATTCAAGTGCAATCCATTTAGAACACTGAAAGATAGAGTGCTCAGGCTTTCAGGAAATCATTAAGAACATAAGACTCATGTAGATTCAAGATCAATATCAAGAGGCTGAGTTAACCAAGATAGAGAAGAATAACACTTTTGTGTTCAACCAATCATATCTACTTGGAGAAATAAATAGAGGGAGAGTATCAAGTTTATGACTTGTGAAAACTTGATGAGACTTGTGGGTGGCTTTGTGATCAAAGCACAAGTTCTCACTACTTGTATTAAGGTGAAAATACATAGTGGAACCTCCTATATGTTCTAAGAGAATAGTGGAGTGAGCAACTAATGAACCACTATAAAAATTTATGTCTCTTTACCTTACACCATTTTACTTTACTGCTCACATAGTAAATTTGATTGATGTTCAGACATCCAAACGTATGCCTAAAAATGTTAAAAATGGTTAATAATTTATAAGAAAAAGGGTCAAATCGCCCCCCCCCCCCCCCCCCCTAAATCATCTGGAAAGTGCAATTAGGCTCTCTAAGTAAAAAAAAAAAAAAGCTTCATTCAAGTCCCCTAAATTGATAAAATTGTTCAATTGAGTCAAAATTGACTTTTGTATCTGTTTAAATCTGTACGGTGTTGACACATGTCCTTTTTATTTTATTTTTAAATAATTTTTTATTTATTAAAAATTAAAAATATTATATTATTTAAAAAAAACCACCAGTAAAATCACTGAACTCGCCGCCGCCGTTGTTGTCTCCCTCACAGCCATAAATTTATGAAAAATTTCCTTCAGTGTTGTTCAAAATCATTAAACTCATCAATTGACAAATCGCCTAGCTTTCAATTGTTGAAGGATTCCGACAATGAGTTCGGGTCGAACTCTTCTCGCTCTCATCTTCCTCTTCTATACACAAAAACGACGACCTCCCTCGCATATCCCTGGATTCACAAAAGCCCGTCAATCTCTCTCGCAACCTTCCCAGTGCCCGATTGGTGAAACCAAGGGCATTGTCTTCTGAAAATTCGACCGGAAGAGTGTGCCGCAGTCTAGTGCAGAGAGCACCAGACACTGCTACAATGAGAATACGAAACTTCACATCTGAGAATCTACTAAATATATCTTCTAAACTTGCAAAGGAGCGGGAAATATGCCTCGCATATTTTTTATCTAGTTGCTATTTCTATTCTTTGTCTGGTTGCCATTCCTACTTTTTTGTATTATTATTATATTTATATTTATATTTCAATTTTGAATTTTTAATAATTTTGATGGTGATTAATACAATCATTTATTGTATTGAGTAATATGAATACTATTGAATATTATGTTTTTTTTTTTCCCAAAAGATTGAATTTTCAATTACAAGGACGCTCAATGCACACATTATGCTGATTATACTGGATGCATTATACATGATTGTATTACAGTATTAGATCTCATCAAATACATCGGCACAATAGAAATTTCCAGTAATTTTTTTTCCTGTAATTGTGTATAAATAAATAAATGAAATTATATTATATACGGAATATATAACTGGAAAAGTCGGTCTTCAAATTACCCGGGTCGGGTTGGGGGATTTTATCAAATTCCCAAAAGCGCCGTGCTCTCCCTCAAGGCCTCAAGCAGTTAGGTTTCTATTTGCAAACGCAAAAGTGTATAAAATTTTCGAACACAATCGAGTTCACTCTTCTCTGAATTTCGGAAAACTCAGTGTGTGCTCTGAATTTGGGGATAGTTTCGGAACTTGAAGCAAATTAACCATGGCGAGGAGGCGTGACGAGGAGGATGATGAGGAGCTGGACCCGGAGGACGATTACGAGGATGTGATGGATGATGAGGAAGAAGAGGAAGAAGAGGAGTATGACGGCGGCGGAAAGGCCGGGAGGAAGCGCTCGAGATCGGATTTCATCGATGATGCGGCGGAGGAAGATGATGAAGATGAAGAAGATGACGACGACGATTATGGAGGTCGTAAACGTAACAAGAAGAGGTCGGGGTCTCATTTTTTTGATCTCGAGGCAGCGGTTGATAGCGATGACGATGAAGAAGAAGAAGACGGCGAAGACGGTTAGAACTTTTCTATTAAAATTACTTATAAAAAATAATTGGTTTAAGGGCATTTATATTTTTTGTTATACGAATCATATAAATTTGATCAAACTTCCACCTATCTGAGCTTTAATGTACCAATCTGAATTTGTGATTGTAAATATGCATAATGTAATAGATATCAAAGGTTTGCCATGGATGAGTGGATCAGTGAATAATCAATAGAAACTGTAGAGCTTTTGTATACCAGACCTCAGCTTGACTATCTGCACCAATCCTTTTTTTTTTGTTTTTTTTGTTTTTTTTTTTTTTGGTTTTTAAATGTCTCTAGAAGTTTAGACTAATTGTCCATTACATTGGTACCTTTTCTTTATATGAGTTAAGGTGAAAGCTGAAATCAGAAATATACTTTTCTTTTGGGAAGTCTCCCACCTTTCAATCAGGTTCTCATATACATTTTTTTTTTAACTGGAATTATTTCAGACTTTGAAAATGGTGATTGGGTGTGCTCTATGGTATGATTGATAACTAACTTTCAGTGGAACGGTGGAACCTTATGGATCTAAAAACTAAAGGCCAGAGAAAATTGGGGGTAGAATTGGTAACATGTTAGAGAGTATTTCTATGGTTTTGTGATGTTGAAATTAGGATAGAATCAAGTTTGTCTTTTAGCACTTCAACTCTTGTTGCTTGTCCTCTTTTAACTGGGTAGATAAGTAACTTACCAAATTCAAAGAGATACTACATAATAGCTTCTAAAAAGGCCCAAAACATTGAGAAGAACTAGATATAATAGAGAGAAAAATCATGCAGTGGTTAGTACACTTGTGTTCTGAACTGTTTTATATTGGGAAGGTTGAAATTTTTGACATGCAAATATGCAATGGCTCTGTTTACTGGACTTTTACTTCCCCACATCTTTAACTGTGCTTCCATCTTTTACTTCCCTCCAAGGAACTGACATTTGTTTTTAGACCTAGTGAATTGCACGGTTTTATATAGCTGGGTCCAGATACAGGCATAAAGTTCCTCACTCCATCTCATCTCATCTTCTAAGTGTGCTTCTCTATCTTAAAAGATGTGAAATTTGAGTTAGAAGCTGAATACCTGCCATTGTATGTGTTTTTTGTGTGTGCGTGTGTGTGTGTTCTGGCCAGCTAGTTTCATACTGATTTTGGTTCTCCATCATGTTAACTCTAAAAGACATTTTATTAAAGCTTATTAACTTTAAACTAGTCATTAGTAGATAAATGTTAACTCTAAAAAACATTAAACTTGAGTACTTAACTTTAAACATGTGTTCTCATTATTAGTTAATGAATTTTACCCTTTATAGTTCTAAGTTTGTCCCCTGTTGATATTGCTAGCGAACTGGGATTTCTCTTCTGCTCTGGCATGCTCACTGGGAATTCTCTTTTGTTGATGCTAATGATAGTATTCCTGAATGCACAGACTTCATCGTGGATAATGGAGCTGATATACCTGATGATTATGATTCAAGACAGATTCATCGCCGCCCAATTCTCTCACGTGAGGACCAAGAGGAAGACTTTGAGGCACTTGAGAGAAGCATCCAGGCTAGATATGCAAGGTCAAGTCATGTGGAGTATGATGAGGAAGCTACTGATGTAGAGCAGCAAGCACTTTTACCATCTGTCAGAGATCCGAAGTTATGGATGGTGAAATGTGCGGTAGGTGTTAGGGCTTGTACTTGATTTCACCTGAAGTAGACCTTGCTTCTTCCTTATTCTGTCTTTGTGCATTGTAGATTGGTCGTGAGAGGGAGGTTGCTGTCTGTCTGATGCAGAAATGTATTGACAGGGGACCAGAGTTGCAAATTAGGTCTGTTATTGCACTTGATCATCTTAAAAACTATATATACATTGAAGCAGACAAAGAGGCCCATGTTAGGGAGGTATGCTATAGCATGTGCATGTTATTATACTTTGCTCTTTTTGAAGTTTTGATTTGGTAAATAGTTCCAAGGAATGCTCTTTGGTACTGATTATTTTACCTCGCTTGTTTTGTTACAGGCATGCAAGAATATGCGCATGATATATCCTGCAAAAATAATGCTTGTTCCAATCAAAGAGATGACTGATGTCCTTTCGGTTGAAAGCAAAGCAGTTGATCTTGCCAGGGATACTTGGGTCAGAATGAAGACTGGAACTTATAAAGGCGACCTTGCAAAGGTGGTCAAGTCTCTATTTGTCTCTGGAAATTCAACTTAATGAGTTTCTTTCTAATATTTAAGTTTTCTTTAGGTTGTGGATGTAGATAATGTAAGACAGAGAGTTACCGTGAAGTTAATCCCAAGGATTGACTTACAAGCTCTTGCAAACAAATTGGTATGTGCCTTTGCTCTTGTTACTTTTTTTGTTCTGAATGTCATTGTGCAGAAGTATTCAAAGAATTGTTTTCTCCATCTGTATTGATTATGGCTTTCTTTTGTTATATAGGAAGGGAGGGAAGTTCCAAAGAAAAAAGCATTCATTCCTCCCCCACGTTTTATGAACATAGATGAGGCTCGGTAGATTTTTCCTTAACATCTTTGAGCTTGAGAAATAAACTATTGGGTGGTCATTTTGTTTCATTAATGTGTTTTTATTATTTTCAGAGAGATGAATCTACGTGTTGAGCGTAGGCGAAATCCAATGACAGGTGACTATTTTGAGAATATTGGTGGCATGATGTTCAAAGATGGATTTTTATATAAAACAGTGGCTATGAAATCAATTAGCACTCAGAATATTCAGCCAAGTTTTGATGAACTTGAGAAATTCCGTCAACCTGGTGAAAGTGGGGATGGTGATATGGCCAGTTTGTCGACTCTATTTGCGAATAGGAAGAAAGGTCACTTTATGAAGGGTGATCGTGTGATTGTCGTCAAAGGGGATTTGAAGAACCTGAAAGGATGGGTTGAGAAAGTAGAGGAAAATACAGTTCACATCAGACCAAAAGAAAAGAACCTTCCTGTATGAAAAATTGATCGTCCCGTACTCTTTTGAACATGCAATGGTTCTATTTAAATAAAATCCCCATTGAGTGAAAAGACAACTAATTAGCACCTTGCTGGCTTGCTCTTTCTTTGGCAGAAAACACTTAGTGTTGGTGACAAGGAGCTTTGCAAGTACTTTGAACCTGGAAATCACGTAAAAGTTGTATCTGGTGCATCTGAAGGTGCGACTGGTATGGTTGTGTCTGTTGAGGGGCATGTGGTGAACCTAGTGTCTGATACTACTAAGGAGATTGTAAGTCAATAACTTCTTTTTACCTATCAAGGACAAAAAACCAAAAAAGCTATTCTCTTGCTTTGAGGATGATTGTCTTTATAATAATGCAATTTTCTTTTGATGTGTATTCATAGATGTCATTCATGTTTTCTGTAGATACGTGTATTTGCTGACACTGTTGTGGAAAGCTCTGAAGTAACATCTGGTGCCACTCGAATTGGGGACTATGAGCTCCATGACCTTGTGCTACTAGAGTAAGCAGTTTTTTCACCCTTCCTCCCCCCAATAGTTTAATCTTTTAATGAATCATAACTAAGCTTTTGTACATGAATTGTTATGCAGCGATAAGAGTTTTGGTGTGATTATACGAGTAGAGAGTGAAGCTTTCCAGGTTTGAAGGATAATTTCTGAGATCAATTTCATTATTATAAATCTTCTGCTGACAATCTTATGAAATTACTTAGGTCCTTAAGGGGGTTCCGGAAAAAGCTGAGGTAGCACTTGTCAGGCTAAGGGAGATAAAAGCCAAGGTTGACAAGAAAGGGAGTGCACATGATCGGTATCAGAATGCATTAGCAGTGAAAGATGTGGTCAAGGTTCTTGAGGGACCTTGCAAGGTGTGCATTGCTCTCTTGGGCTTTTTACATTACTAATTGGATTACTGGTGTTATAACATTTATAATTCTCTTTGTCCCCCCAATAGGGAAAACAAGGGCCAGTGGAACACATATATAGAGGAATTGTGTTTATTTACGACCGTCATCACCTTGAGCATGCTGGCTTTATATGTGCCAAAGTGCAATCTTGTGTTTTGGTTGGTGGATCAAGGTCAAATGGTGATAGAAAAGTATGCATCTAATGTTCTTGATCAGGAAATCTTTTCCATTTATTATTGTAATTACTATTACTTTCTCGCATCCATGTGCAACTATATCATGCTCTAACATCTTATTATTGTAACTTCTTTAGGCTGATCCCTTCTCATCAAGGTTCGGGAACCTTAGAACCCCACCTCGTGTTCCACAATCTCCAATGAGATCGTACAGGGGTGGTCCACCCAAAAATTGTATGTCTTCTGTATTTGAATAGTATTGATCCTTATTATTGCAGTTTAATGCTTCCCCTTTTGTCTTTGGGCCTCACAAAAACCGTATAATTGCTGTCATGATTTAACTGATTTCAATTGTTCCATATTTCGTTGTTATTCAACATCCTTACATCTAAACTGGATTTGGTATTTTCATATTATTGGTTATTTCTCATACTTTAGATTTAAACAAAAATTCTATTGTTATAATTGTCTAATTGATGCTCTTTAGTTGGAGGAAGGCATGGTGGCGGAAGAGGAGGACACGATGCTTTAATTGGTGCTGATGTTAAAATTCGCCTTGGGCCATTCAAAGGTTGCAAAGGACGTGTTGTTGATTTGAAAGGAACTTCAGTCCGTGTTGAATTAGAAGCTCAAATGAAAGTTGTTACAGGCATGTCTCTAAATGCCAGAGTAGCCATCAACACTTTATTGCTTATCCATTGCCTTCGCTCATGAAATTTAAAATTTTTTGCAGTTGACCGTGGTCATATTATGGATAATGTAAATGTTAGAACACAATTCAGGTAAATGTGCTTTTACTAGTTTTTTCTTGAGTAATAAGCAGTTCTTTTTTTTAAAAAAATTTTATTATTATTATTATTATTATTATTATTATTATTATTATCAATTTTTAACTTCTCCCACTTTCTCCAGGGAACCATCTAGATATGGTTTTGGGAGTGAAACCCCATCACATCCTTCACGAACTCCACTCCATCCCTTTATGACTCCCATGAGAGATCCTGGAGGTGGTTTCTATTACTCTCTTTGGTTTTATTGCTCTATTATGGGATTTTTTGTTTCACTTAAATTTTTTTATTTTTTGTTTATAGCAACACCTATCCATGATGGTATGAGGACCCCAATGCGGGACAGAGCATGGAATCCAATGAGTCCACCTAGGTAGGTTGTCATTGTTAGTAAAAACTGTGTTCTATACTCATTGGCACATAATGTATAAAGTTGAAGAGTAATGATCTATGAATGTTTATTTATTGGAGATATGCATAACTATGATGTTGTGTCCCACTAATCTTTGGCTATGCTGCTCTGGTAAAACCACAAATGTTATGAGCAAAAAACTGTACTATACTCATGGGCACATAATGTAAATAGTTGAAGCATGATGGCCTAGGAATGTGGATTCATTGGGGATATGCATAACTAGGATGTCTGTCCCATTAATCTTGGTTATGCTGTCGTTGTCCAGATCTGGATCACCAAAAGCTAAATGTGTATGCATTGTTGTTTTAATTCCCAGATGTCTATGAGCTTGAAATTGTTGGCTTTGGTTTCATTTCCTTGAAATTGAAATGAAATGTGCGTTCTCTTTATCTCAAATAAAACTTGCAAAACTATATAACATGAAATCTCGTGCAAAATCCTACTTGTCCTTGAGTCCTTTTGAGTTTGTTATGGTGTTGAAATTGTTTATGAATGTCAAGTCTGTTTAGATGAGAATGAAATTCCAGTGGAGGAACTTTATCACTGTGAGAGTTATGGAATCTTGCTTCCAATATTACGATTAAAAAAGTAGTGTCTTAACTCTCTTGTTGTGGCTGAGCAAAATTAGGTGTGCAAAGTGCAGACATGAACCTCCTATATTTTGTATATACAGAAAAGGGAGAATGCACTTATGCAATGCATGCTTAATTCTCTTCATGACACGTTTCTTAATTTCTTTGGGTCTCTACGAGATCAAATGACTAGAATGACAAAGCCACTGAATTAAATGATTTCAATTTCTGTGCTAGGGATTCTTGGGAAGATGGAAACCCTGCTTCTTGGGGATCTAGTCCACAGTACCAGGTTTGCAATTTGTTACTTTTATTTTGCAATTTGCATGTTCATAGAATCTCCTTGTGATTGTAGTATTGATCTAAAAACTTCTATTTTTTTAGCCTCCAAGTCCTCGTTCAAGACCATACGAGGCACCCACTCCTGGTTCTGGTTGGAATAACTCTTCCACCAGCAGTTACAATGACGCTGGAACTCCTAGAGATAATAGTTCGTCTTATGGTAATCAAATCAAAATGTTCCTGTTATAAGTCTTGAGTTTGGACTTGATTTCTATGTCCTACACATACAAAATTTTATTTATTTTGATGCTATTCTAATTTTGTTAAATGTAGCTAATGCCCCAAGTCCTTACTTGCCTTCAACACCTGGTGGGCCGCCACCTATGACCCCAAGTTCTGCATACTTGCCTGGAACTCCCGGTGGGCAACCAATGACTCCTGGTAGTCTGGATATGATGTCACCTGTAGTAGGTAGGTGTTACTGTTTTTTGACTGAGATAATGTCTGCATACAAAATACTCCGAGCACATAAATAACTTACCCTTGTTACCCTGTTCTTATCGAAGTGGATAATTTATGGTTCTTGAGAATTGAGAATTTAACTTTGCTTTGTTTTTAATATTATTCTTGTAATTTACTACTTTGTAGCCCCACCAGGAACCACCCTTTTTATATGGCTGTCCCTTTCTTTTTTTGGTAAATCAAAGAGGGATGGGGGAGATGGGATTCAAACTTGGTTACTTGGACAATGACCTGTAAAGGACAAAGCGCTGACCCCCCTATGGCTTCTATTTTCCGATTTTGTTAATGTTCTAGCTTATAGCTGGATAACAGAGATAACTGATAAATATTAATACTACCTGGACAGTCTTGAATTTGAGGGGGGTGAGCATGTTGCACACATAAAGATTATAATATTCTGTAGTAATATGGGTGTTAGCAATCTAGTTATTGTATGAAGTTAGTTGTAATGGCTTAAGGCTTAACCCTTGATTAAATTCTTTTACTTCCTGTTTAGTTAAACTGGATATTTGCTTTGCCAATTAAAAAAACAGAAGTACGCATTGAGATATTAGTGACTTTGTCCATGGTGATGCTAATGAATATAAGTTGCAGGCGGAGAAGGTGAAGGGCCTTGGTTCTTGCCAGATATCGCAGTCAATGTACGAAGGAGTGGGGAAGATAGTCTTGTTGGTGTGATACGTGAAGTTCTTGCGGTATGTATAGTTTAATAATCTGTTCTCTTGCATTCTTTGTGGAAATATACATGCGAAGCCCTACAGGAATTCTCTTCAAATGAATTTTAGTATTTATTTAAGAGATCCACTGCTCAAAGAGAAATGCTTTTTTTATTTTTTTACATTTTACTTGGCATATAGGCAAAAGATGTCTTTAGGATTGTCTATTTGAGATTCAATTGTATCAATTTTATACTTATATTATGAGCAATTCTTTGGTGGCCCAGGATGGTTCTTGTAGTGTTGCCCTTGGCTCAAGTGGTAACGGGGAAATAATCACTGCACTCCCTAGTGAAATTGATATCATCGTGCCAAGGAAGTCGGACAAAATTAAGATTATGGGCGGTGCTCAGCGTGGGTCCACTGGGAAGCTTATCGGTGTTGATGGCACTGATGGAATTGTCAAGGTAGATGATACTCTTGATGTTAAAATATTAGACATGGTTATTTTGGCTAAGTTAGCACTTTAGTTTCTGGCCATTGCTAATTGTTATAACAGTGACCCGTGGCCGTGCTGATTGCGATTATTTGCCGTTGTAATATATATACAAAATACAGTGATATTTTTCTTTCTACGTCTGATTTTTACATTTTTTATGTGGGATAAATGGAGAAATCTTCATCAGTTTTGTAGCTTGTTATTCACATTTTTTTTTCTTGTGTTTTCTTTAGAGAACATTTTTTTCTTGTGTTCTATTGTAGCTTGTTATTCACATTTTTTTTTCTTGTGCTTTCTTTAGAGAACATTTTTTTCTTGTGTTCTAAATATTCGTTTAGAAATTTCCACAACACTGCCTGGCCTTGCTTTTTTGATGTGTGCAAATTGCATAATATACGTTTTTTTTTTTTTAATGTTCAAATTAAATGTACGCTGTATGATATTAAGTATTAATATTGAAAAGTTCAGTGTTTTAGTTGTATGACCATCTGGATGTCTGGTTCATAATACAGCAATTAGAACCAATTTTTATAGAGCTTCTTGTAGAGTCTTCTGGATAAAGCTCTATGAAAATAGGCCACATAGGCCCTGTTTGGTAAAAAATTGACCTATAGGCCAATTTTAGTTTATTTGATCACTATTAATTGTTTGATTTAGTTAAAATATCAATATAAATGTTCGTTAATTAGCTTTTTGTAACTGTAAAAGATTAAAATTTAAAAAGTTACTCCAAGCAATTTTTTTAATTAGCTTTTTGAGAAAAGAAATTATACCAAACAGTTATTAGTTAACAACTAATTTACCGAACACTTTTATACAATTAGCTAATATTATCAACTATTTATATCCTCTAATTAACACAATCAGCTAATAGCTAACAACTATTTACCAAACAGGGTCATAGTCTTCTGAGGTGTGTTAGAGTGGTCGTCAGTTACTTTTACTTTTATTTACTCCGTACGTTTTACTGTTTTTTTTTTTTTTTTTTTTTTAATGTTAGAATTTTTTTTTTTCACACACATTTTTATGCTTACAAAAAGCTCTCAAAAATTGTCTTGGTTAAAATATTTCTCAAAGTCTTTCAAGTTTTTGCAACGTGTAAATATCAAACAATAATATATAATTAATTAAATAAAAATACTTTACTATTTTCAAAAATTTACTTTTAACTTTTATACACACTTGTTTAAATTTAATTGGAAAAAGAAAAAATGAAATGGACAAACATTGAACCCTTAAAAAATTGAGCAATCAAAGCATGCTAAATTATAAGATGTAAAAAATGGGGAATACATGTAAAAGTACTCTTAATTAAATCAACAACCAAACTCCTTACATTGGCAATTTGGTCCACAACCCAAGCCACATAGAGCCTTTCTCGCAAATTATGCCGTGGAATCGTGTTCACCGAGAATGGTGAACACAAGTCAAAACGACGTCGTTTTTGGCAAAAAAAAAAAAATAAAATCGCGGATGTGGAGTTAACAGCGCGTTACTGATCAAATTATGAATTTTCTGTTATGAGATTATGAATTTTATGAAAATTCATAATCGCATAACAGAAAATTCATAATCGCATAACAGAAAATTCATAATCTCACAACTGAAAATTCATAATCTCATAACAGAAAATTCATAATCTTATAACAGAAAATTCATAATCTCATGGTTCCAAAGTGAATGTGTAGGCATGGTTCCAAAGTGAATGTGCAGGCATGGATTCATAATTTATGAATGTTCGTGATTTCGGACGGGAATATATAGGCATGGTTCCAAAGTGAATGTGCATGCATGAATTCATAATTTATGAATGTCCGAAACTCCGAAATTATGAATGTAATGAAAATTCATAATCTCATAACAGAAAATTCATAATTGCATAACAGAAAATTCATAATCTCATAACTGAAAATTCATAATCTCATAACAGAAAATTCATAATCTCATGGTTCCAAAGTGAATGTGTAGGCATGGTTCCAAAGTGAATGTGTAGGCAGTCACGTAATTAATTAAAAGAAAAAAAAAAAAAAAAAAAGATAACGGTGCACTAACACCGTTGGAACCGTGTTCACCATGAATGGTGAACACGGTTCCATGGCATAACGTCTGAGCCTTTCTTCATCCCTCACTTTCATCCTTTCTTAGAAGCAAGAGGCATAGAGAAAGAGAGAGAGAGAGAGAAAGAGAGAGAGAGAGTAAAGAAAGAAAGATGATAAGTGGGAATGATTTTTACAAGGTGATGTGTGCAATGGTGCCATTGTACTTTGCAATGCTGGTAGCGTATGGGTCAGTGCGGTGGTGGAGGATATTCTCGGCGGAACAGTGCGCCGGCATCAACCGCTTCGTCGCCGTTTTCGCCGTGCCGGTGCTGTCCTTCCACTTCATATCTCAGAACAACCCCTACCAGATGGACCCAAAGTTCATATTGGCTGATACATTTTCCAAGCTTTTGGTCCTTCTTTTGCTCTCATCTTGGGCAATATGCAAAGGGCAGTTGGATTGGCTCATCACCCTCTTCTCACTCTCCACTTTGCCCAATACCCTTGTTATGGGCATCCCTTTGCTTAAGGCCATGTATGGAGATTTCACCCAATCACTCATGGTTCAACTTCTTGTCCTTCAATGCATCATCTGGTACTAAACTCCATCTTTTTTTTTTTTTTGTTTTTTTTTTTTGTTTTTTTTTTTTTTTTTTTTTTTTTAAAATTCATTCTGTCTCATTTATTTTACTTAGCTTGTGGGTTTACTATTCATTACTCAAATATATTAAAAAAAATAAATTGTAAATAATTTCAGTCAAGTTTGATTAAATAAATCAGACACATAAAATCATAAAATGGGACAAAAAGAGTATTGATTAGTATGTTACATTTGATATATATGGTTTCCTTGCGTTCTATTGATACTGGAAGGGACTATATTCAATGCATTTGAAGCCATGCCTTTTGAAATGAGATTGACTATGATACCAAATTGAAATATATGTTTCATCTCAACTAAAGAGTAAGTTAATAGTTGATGAATTATACAAATTTATATATATTTTTATATTATTTGCTCAACAATAACAAGTTTAATTATTTCTATGCACTACTAGCTAGTAAAGTAAAATGCCTTTAATTTTCATTCATGTGTAAGTCGGTTGAAACTTTTTTATGTCTTTTACAGAAAGTAATCTGCAAAGTGACAAAGCAGTGTAGAATTGCTATGAGTATAGCATGTTGAAACATATCCAAAAAGATAAATAGGCCACATAGAAAAACAACTTATTAGGGCATGTATGGTAAATAGTAATTAACTGATTAAGTTAATGAGTTTAACTAGTTGATAGCATTATGTGATTGTAAAAAGATATTTGGTAAATTAGTTGTTAGCTGATAGTTGATTAAATTCAAAATAACTTTCTTAAAAAGTTGATCGAAAAAACTGCTTTTAAGTGTTTTTTGAATTTTAGCATTTTGGAACAATAAACTATGGATTGGTATTTCAATAATTTGATCTTATAAACTATGTCAAAAGAATAATTGTGCATTTTACTTTATAGAATGTGGATATATATATATATATATATATATATATATATATATATATATATATATATACTAGCATTATATTTACGTACATTAAGATGTACAAAATTACATGTTTTATATAATAATGTTCATGTTTAAAAAATAAAAAATAATAATGTTCATTATATTCATGCATGCAGGTATACTATTTTATTATTCTTGTTTGAGTATAGAGCAGCGACCATACTAATCAAGAACCAATTTCCCGGCGATATAGCTGCCTCCATAACAAAATTCGCCGTCGACAATGACGTCATATCCCTCGACGGCCGGGGACCGCTTTGCACGGAGTCGGAGATCGACGTTAAAGGCCACATCCGCGTCCGTATCCGACGGTCCATTTCATCGTCGGCGCCGGAGGAATCGGGGTTCTCATCCTCCCTAGGGATCACTCCCAGGGCGTCCAATCTCTCCAACGCCGAGGTTTTCTCCGTTAACACGCCGCCGGGCCCGTTGCATGAGTTCCAGCTCGCGAACGACGACGTAGCGTTCGGGCATGGGGACTTGGGCGTGGGCTTTCGGGCCGGGCTGAGCCCGCAGCTCTCCGTCGGCGGCTACGCCTCATCTGATGCGTACTCGTTGCAGCCGACGCCGAGGCCGTCGAATTTTAACGAGATGGACGCGGCGACGACGGGGAATACTCCGATGTGGGTCATGTCCCCCGCCTCCGGCGGGAAGATTTGCCGGCAGGCGTCTCCGGTGGCTAAGGAGACGTCGCCGGGGAAGTGTGAAGGCGGCGGAGAAACACAAGGGTATAGAGATGCTGTTGGAGGTATGTGCGATAGATACTATATGTTTTTTTTTTTTCTAGGGTTTTGCATGGCCACTACTTAATTGGAAAATAATATTTATATTTTCACTTATAAATTAACCGACCTTATTTAATAAAGATAAAATGAAAATAAAAAAACAAAAACAAAAAGATTGAAAGTGACAAATGATTTTGATAGAGGGAGGGTAGTATGGCCTGTATGGTATATTATTAAGCTAAGGGCATGAGGAAAGAGTAATGAGACAAATTTGGAGGCAGACATAGGCATGCATGCTCTACATACCCAAACTTGTCGTTTACACTACACTTCAAAACCCTCTATTCATTGTACAAAATGTAGTAGTAGAGGGGTCATTTTCTTGTGCAGATATTGCTTCTCGTGCAGTCGTGCGGTCACGCATCATTAGATACGTATAAATGCATTACAAAGAGTTAAAAATGTACCATTAAGTGTGGTGCATTTGTGCATTATTTCCGATAACTGCATGGTGCATTTATGCATACCTAATGGTATAGTACAATCCAAATTGGTCGCACAAAAAGTCCTGTCCTCATTTGAACCAGTATTGTAGAGGCGTAATCCATATGGCTAAGAATATAAACTAATTGAAGTGTGTGTGTGGGGGGGGGGGAGGGGGGGGCTTGGAGTTGGGAATTCAACCTTTTGGGAGAAGAATATAAACTAATTACAAGATTATGAGTTCGAATTTCAACCTTCTTGATTTGAACCAATCAACTAACTTAGATTGATTTATAATTTTTTGTTAACAAGAATTACAAAATAAGATTTACCCAAAAAATTGTTGCAGTAGGGAACCCCGAATGGTTGCTTTCTACAATGCACGCTTTGGTTGCATGTAAGCAAAGAAGCCATCTTATGTCTCTATTACATACTACAGACTACAGATGTTGTCTCATACTGACGCAGCATTTCTATACCCAATCCACGATTCATCTGACAACTTATAGCACCTTCAATTCTCCCTATTCTATTCATCATAGATGGGCTCGCTTATCCACAAGAAGCTGTACGATTGAAATGATGAACATCTCCTAGAGACTAGAGTGGGGTTTTTCTGCTCAATTTTTACATATATATATATATATATACACCACATGCATATAATGGTTAAGTTCAATAGTTTGGTTTTTTTTTTTTTTTTTTTTTCTGAGAATTTTTGCCAGACACAATTAAAAGGAGAGGAGAGAGAATAAGGGGAAGAAAAAAAAAAAAGAAAAACAATGTCTGAGAAAATATTTAAAAAATATTACTTTTACGCGTCCATGCTATGCATGTTATTATATTGGGTGCAAATGTTATGCTCAACGTGCAAAAAATGTCTTTTTTTTTTTTTTTTTTTTTTTTTTTTTTTTTTTCACGTACGCAGACCCTACTAAAAATCATTATTTGCAGGAAAAAACTCTCTTAAAATCTATCTTCCCCATTTGTTAAAAACATAAAAACTATGGAGTAATTTTTTTCTACTTGCAAAAACCATTAAAAACCCTAATGGGATTGCTCTTAGAGCAACATAACCCTAAGCCTAAGCTCGTGCGCCCCTTATGAGATCGAAAAGGCTTGGCTCAAGCCTAAGCTCGTGTGCCCCTTATGCTGCGGTAAATGTCTACCGTTTCCGGAACAGAACGGTACATGCCTGTACAGTTCATCTAACCGTTTGAGAGATCAATTCAGCTGCTACGGATTTAATTTCATATTAATTCCAATTTTAAATTACAGAATTAATTCTCAGGTTAATGGTGCTGTTACAGGGGTGTTTTAATGTCATTTTTGAATGCTATTGAATTCCTTCAACCCTATATAAGAGAGGGTAGAGCAGCAAAATTTCACAACAACATAGAAAATACAGTTTTCAAGCCTCAAAACTCTATGCTTCTACTCTCTTCTTAGCCTAATTGTGTTCATCCCGTTGCTCTAGTTTGCCAGATTCCTTGTTTGGGTGCTCAAACATTGAATCGTAGCAAGTTTTATCCTGGAAAGCCTAGGCTACAACGCTCCTAGCACTTGTGGGAGGTAGCAAATAAGGTTCTAAGGAAAGAGTGATCACTTGACTCATGCTAAAAACCCTACACCAAACACGAGCCTATCTCTTCATCTTTCCTTCCCTTTTTTTCTACATAAAATTTATTAAATACAAAATATGATGTTTGCTTACTATAGACTTTATTTTTATTTTCTAAAGACTCGAAGATTTTTATTTTTAAATATTTTTCGCAGATATGAAAATTAATCTTATTTATAACTATACAATTTAGTAAGGCAATTTTTAACTCCGAATTACACTTTATTCAAATTCTTTAAATTAAATTAGAAAAAAAAAATCTTGAATATATAGATTGAATTTACGATTTTAACCTGTAAATAATGTGCACGAGATAGGATAAAATAGTAGAAGTAAAAGGGTGGGTGGGGTTTTGACTTTGGACATGAAGCATAATTGGAGAAATAATTACAAAATTAGATTCAAACAAATATTGATGGGAGATGCATTTGCATAGGCAGAATCATTAGTTCAAAGCACGTGTGTGTTTTGATATGATAGTGAAGACTCATTTTTGAAACGCACTTGCGTTTATATATTAAAACACACACACACACACATATGACCAAATGAATACACATATATATGACCAAATGAATGTTAGATCTAAATATATAATCTAATGATACTAAATAATACTATATGAGAAGCTAACTTCGTACTAGCGGAAGCGGAAACAACGTTGATCTCCAGCCACAGTTGATGTCTTGTTGTGTTGTCTCGTAGACCGTTAGCCATATTTATCCCACACTTGACTCAGAACCACAGATGGTGTATTGGTGTCTACTGAGCAGTATAAGTACCGTAACTGAATGTTCTATATAATGCATATTCTGTATTCCATCAGGCTTATATTAGGCATGGGTTGAGCTAACAACTCCTAGTTATTCCGTCCAACCAAATTATTTAATAAGCCTAGTCAACTTGCAACTTAATTAAGGCCATAATATATAATATATAATATATACTCTCTCTGTCCCATTTTATCTGTCCTACTTACTATTCATTGGTCAAACTAACTCTTTTTTCTTTGTTTATTTTTTTTTAGTATTATTTACTTATTTTTAAATTTGATTTTTTGTGTTTAATAGTACTTTTAGTGTAGTTTCTAAATATATAAATTTTGTATACTAATACTAAATTTAATATTATGAAAAATTGAATTGAAAATAACTTTAGCCAAGTATGGTTAATTGAACCAGACACATAAAATGGGATGTAGTGAGTATATTATTAGGAAAAATCTTACAATGAAAACACATGCCAGGTAAAAGTATGAACTTATCTTGACCATTAATCTAGTAATGATCAACAATAGTAAAACAAGGAAATCTAGAAAAAAAAATACAATGATATATTTTGATATATATCACAAACTTTAAAGTGTATTGGACAATAAACAAAGCGCATCCCGTGATATGTGAAATGCAACATCTTGAATGCACTTCTAGTCTTCTACATATCATCGGATATATACGTCTTGCGATTGTGCAGGGTGTGCAACTTCAAAATTTAAAATATTTATCAAAATGTCACTGTATTTTTTCATATTATCTTATTTTAGAGTTATCGATCATCTCTAGATCAACTACTGCTGAGGTTACTTGGTGGTTTTTGACTGGGAAATGGTTCTCACAAGATTTAGGGTGGCGTTGTTTGGTAAAATAGCTAGTTTATTAGCCAATTTTGACTCATTTGACCACTATTAATTGTTTGACTTTGTTAAAGAATCAATGTAAGTATTTGATTATTTAGCTTTTTGTAACTCCAAAATGCTAACATTTAAAAAGTTGCTCAAAGCAACTTTTTCAATTTGCTTTTCAAGAAAAGAAATTATACCAAACAACTATAAGCTAACAACTAGTTTACCAAACACTTTTCTACAATAAACTAATGTTATCAACTATTTATACCCTCTAATTAACCCAATCAGTTAACAACTAACATCCATTTACCAAACAAGGCCTTAATTTTTCTCTCTCACACACAGCCATATAGAAAAATTATAAGGAGTACACTCGATCAATTACTCTTATACTTGGTACCACTCCAATTAACTTGGATTGGTATTATGAGACATTGTTCCCATATATATAGTATCTGTACAAATCCTAAAATCTTTTCCAAAGTTTGTTATTTGTACTCAATACAAGTAGCACCAACGTTGATTGACACCGTTGAATTTCTTTCGTGTATATATATATATATATATATATATATATATATATATATATATATATATTATATTTGTAGCTTCATAATGTGTTAACTAATAATTATATATCATCTCCCAATTCTTTTTAATATTAGCAGAAAAGGAAGCTAGCTTCAGAGATTTTGCAAAGTGTTCAGTGGAGGATGGAATTGAAGATAAGAGAAAAAATAAAGAAATGCCAAATGCCTATGTGATGCTAAGACTCATACTTACCATGGTTGGAAGAAAGCTTTCTCGTAATCCAAATACTTACTCCAGTCTATTAGGCCTTCTCTGGTCTCTAATCTCTTTTAAGTGAGTGAGTTTTATATATTTAATTAATCCTTTTATATAATTAATAATTTCTCTTTACTATTCATCATTTTATACATAACTTTTTAATATGATATTAGATTTAAGATGCTCCCTAGCTAAAATGGTAATAATCAATATCGGTGTTTTTTGTATCAAGTACAATTATGTATAGTATATTTAGTTGCACTATATATTGTGGGGGTGAGTGTTAAGAGTAGTGTTTAGTTGCAGTTTATAGTGTGGGGACATGTGTCAGGAGTAGTTGATATAACTCAGATCAAATAACTTAAATAGTTGTACTTAATTAATACAAAAAGCACCCGTGTTAGTTGTTTGGTATTGTAAAAATGCTCTTAGATTTTATTTTGACTATCAAGTCATTGGAACATTAATTAACACTTGACAAAGTGTTCAATATTTAATATCAAAGGGCTCAACTGTTCAATATTTTATATCAAATTAAAGGGCTACATTATGTGGGGAAGAATAAGCAAATGTAATGCTAGTAGGAATATATTGTTAAATGTTTATCAACTTTATTTTGGGGTGTTTGGTAAATAGTTGTTAGCTGATTGGGTTAGTAGGTTTGACTAGTTGATAGCATTAGCTGATTGTAGAAAATGTTTGGTAAATTAGCTCTTAGCTGATAGCTGATTACATGCAAAATGATTTTCTCAAAAAGCTGATCGAAAAAACTACTTTGAGCAGCTTTTTGAATTTTAACATTTTGGAGCAATAAGTTGTTGCAAAAAGCTAATTAATCAAATATTCATATTGATTGTTTAACCAAGTCAAACAGTTAATAGTGGTCAAATAAGTCAAAATTGACTGATAAGCTAACTATGTTGCCAAACAGGTCCTTTATGAATCCAATATGATCTAATAATAATTAATAATTTTGATATAAAACACATTGAATTGGCCCTGTTTGGTAAATGGTTGTTAGCTGGTTAGCTGATTTGGTTAATTAGAAGGTATAACTTGTTGATAACATTAGCTGATTGTAGAAAGGTGTTTAGTAGATTGACTGTTAGCTGAAAGTTGTTTAGTATAATTTTTTTTTCTCAAAAAACTAATTGAAAAAGTTGCTTGGAGTAGCTTTTTGAATTTTAGCATTTTTGAGTCAAGCAATTAATAATAGTCAAATAAATCAAATTTGGCCTATAGACTAACTATTTACCAAACAGGCCATTATATTGTGTGAAACAATTGTACCATATATACCTCTTTGTTGTTGTTGATAAAAGGATAGATCCAATTATGTGAGACAAGATTATAGAATTATAGAAACTAACCCTAGTGTATTAAATGCTTTACTCATGAACATTTCATCATATTATAAATGTCATTAAAGTGGTCAAGCGGATGATGGCATTTTGTTCTATAAAGAGGTGACTGCCCGCATGACCTAAAGTAAGAATGAATACTCCACCTTTTCAAAATGTCAGTAGTGACAAAGAAAAAAACTATATGCAATGGAAACTAAAGTGGTGTTTGACAAAGAGGAAAAAAGGTGGTTTACCTTTTCTGTTGTTGCATATATAATAATGTTGATTTTTCATATATGTGGGGGCAAAGCCTATTTTATTGGCTAATCAATCATAACAAAATTTTCATTGATGATTTGAGCAGATGGAATGTGGGGATGCCAAGTCTGGTGAGATATTCAATACAAATAATTTCAGATGCAGGCCTTGGAATGGCAATGTTTAGCTTGGGTATGTACTCCTCCTTCCCACTTACCTCCCACTTATATCATCATGACATTTTACTACTTTCTATTCTATTTTTTAATAAATTATAATTACGTTTTTCACAATTTTTTTAAGAAATAAGGGTCAAATAGACCACTTAAATCCACGCCACATTGCAATTGGACCGTCGAATTAAAAAAAGTACAATTGGACCGTCGAATTAAAAAAATGCAATTGGGTCCCTGAACCACACAAACTTATTTAATTCAATCCAAAATGACTTGTTTTACTTGAAATATGCTGACGTGGCAGTTAACGAATTTAAAAATAATTTTAATTAAAATAATTATTAATTTTTTTAAAAAAATCCCTTCGTCTCCGGCTCGTCTTCGCCGGAGATGAAGAGCGCGGCCGATTCGTCTCTACCTGGCCATGGAGACGGCCGAAGACGAAGGGGTCAGAGACGAAGCCACCTATGACTATCATTTCGTGGAAATTGACTATCACTCTGCAGATTCGTCTCTCTAGTCATTACAATTGTACAGACTGAGGGAATATATACAAGAGAAGGATAGTCAATTTCCACGAAATGATGGAATATATACAAGAGAGAATCATAGGAGACTAGGATAAGGAGTTATAATATGACTCAAATACATAGTCCTAATACTCGTTTCGATCCCCCTCAAGCACATGGTATACTGGTAACATGTAGCTTGTGTCTCAGAAAGAAAATCTAGGACTAGGTAAAGCTTTAGTAAATATGCCTGCAAGTTGATCTTTTGTAGATATGAAGTTAACTTGAATGTCTCCAGAAGCAACTTTATCTCGAACGAAGTGATAGTCAATTTCCACATGCTTGGTACGAGCATAGAAGATTGGGTTTACACACATATAAGTAACACCAAGATTATCACATCATAGTTCTGGAATAGATATACCTGGCACTTTAATTTCACGTAGCAAAGAGACTATCCACGTTACTTCAGCACAGACATCTGCTAAAGCTTTGTATTCTGCCTCAGTAGAAGATCTAGCAATAGTTCTTTGTTTCTTACAGACCCAAGAGACAAGATTAGATCCAAGAAACATAGCAAAACCACTAGTGGGACTTGCGGTCCTTCGGGCATCCAACCCAATCACAATCTGAGAATGCATGGAGTTCTCTTAATATTGACTTTCTTATACGCAAGTCAAAATTAACTGTTCCCTTAACATACCTCAAGACTCGTTTTAGGTGCTCCCAATGTGATACTGTGGGAGCATGCATATGTTGACATAACTGACTGACTACAAATGATAGATCTAGGCGTGTGATAGTTAGATACTTTAGTGCTCCTGCCAGACTTCTGTACTGCGTAGGATCCTCATATAAATCTGCACTGAAGGGGATAGATTTCGAAACAGAGATAGGAGTAGATAATGCTTTACATTCTGCCATCTAGCACGTTTTAAAATATCATTCATATATCTCTGTTGCGAAAGTAAAATTCCATCATCACATTTAGTTGTCTCAATCCCAAGAAAGAAACCAGGTTCTCCAAGATCTCTAATTTTAAATGCAGTAGATAATTCTATTATCAAACAAGTCACAAGATCCCAATTACTCCCCATCACAAGTATACCATCAACATAGATGACCAAGAGATACACATCAGCAGAGTCCTGTGAGTAGTAAAATAGAGACACATCTGTTTTTTATGCTTGAAATCCAATAGAAAGTAAAAACGTATGTAGCTGATTAAAGGATCATGTTTTAAGCCATACAAAGAACGTTTAAGTAAGCAGACATGATTGGGATACTGAGCATCAATATAACCGGGTGGCTGTTTCATATACATAGTTTCAGACACATTTCCATTTAGAAAAGCATTGTGGAAATCAAGCTGCCTAATAACCCAACTAGAAGATAAAGCCAAGGAAAGAAGCAACCTGACAGTAATGAGCAATGTTGCAAAAAACGTTAGGCGCCCCCTAGGGGCTAAGGGGGCGCCTAGGCGCCGATTTTTTATTTTATTATTTATTTATTATTTATTTTATTTTTATTTTTTTTAATTAAAAATAAAATTAAAAATTAAAAAATTTCAAAATTTAGTAATAAAACATAAGGTTTCCATAGTTATTTCTTAGAAACTATATACGAAAGTGGTTGTAAAATTGTTCAAAAGATTGTTTAAAACATCTAAATACATAAAAAAAACTAAAATTAAGAGCAAAATACGTGATTTGAAAAAAAATTGTCCAAATCGAACAACCGAGTCAAAAATTATGCCTTCCGAAAACTTTTCCCACATTTTCAACAAAAAAAAAAAAAAAAAAAAAAAAAAAAAAATCGCCGAACCGGCCAGCTAGGCGGCCGGCCGCGGAGGAGGCCGCCGAGGCCATTCCTCGTGACGGCCTCCCACCGCCTAGCGCCTAGGCGCGATTTTTACAACACTGGTAATGAGTTTTACCACTGGACTGAATGTGTCAAGAAAATCCTGTCTCGGTACCTGATTGAATCCCTTTGCTACTAATTAATCTCGTCTTGTGTCTCTCAATAGAACCATCTGTCTTTCGTTTAGTGTGAAAGACCCACTAACACCTAATAATATTCATCAAAAGTGAGTAGGGAATAAATTTTTGGAGTAAAAATTACAAATTTAATTTCTAGTATAAAATTGTGCTTTTTCTTTGACCGTGATGTTATTATTTTTTATTTTCTTTTTTTTTTTTAACAAAACATCTTGAATAGTTAAATGGATGAATGATGCAGGACTATTTATGGCAAATCAACCAAGGATAATTGCTTGTGGAGTTAAGATGGCAATAATAGGCATGGTAATCCGGTTCATAATCGGCCCAATGGTTATGTCAGCTGCATCGGTTGCTGTTGGGTTAAGAGGAGTTAGACTCCATGCTGCAATTGTGCAGGTACTTCTTCATCAATAACTTCTTCACTATACTTTTTAGTTCTCTTAAAAAGAAAATTTCAGTTTTCATTTTATGAATATTGGGGTGTTGTTAATTATATTCCACGAGTTTCAAAACTATCAATTATTTAATATTGTATAGTAACTATGCAATTTTTCTCAATTTCAGTCACTCTGATGACTAAATTATCGAAAAATTTTAATAGGTAAAATAATAAGGGCAGTTTAGTCATTTACTTCATCTCTTCTCTTTCTTCCCCATCGCCATTATTTTACCCATTAAAATTTTTCGGAAACTTTTTGCTAGTAATTTGGCTAGAGTGACTACAATTGAGAAAGATTGCATAATTACGGTATTAAATTGATAATTTTGAAACTCGTAGACTGCAATTAACAACACCCAATAGTCATAGAACCAAAAGTGAAATTTTCTCTTCTCTTAAACTACATTGTTTTCAAAGTGGTCCACCAATCTAATAAAGTATTTAATCTCTTTCCAAACATCAATTTTATGACTCTCCATCGTTTTACGGATCATTATTAATGAGACAGGTCAGGTCAATATGAAAATGTAATACTTATACTGAAAAATGTAATACTAATCATGAATAAAGTCTTTGTTATTTATAAAGAAAAGTGTAATACTTTTGAAAAAAATGTAATACTTTTAAATCAAAATGTAAAAGTAATACATTTTTCAAAAAAGATCATTTAAATGTTACTATATATTAAAAATGTTATTGTATAGAATGCAAATAAAATTATCTTAAAAAAGAAACATTTAAACATAAAAATGTAATTTAAACATATATGTATCTAAAATAGTGAGTATAATATAATTAATATAATCCACATACTACAGGCTGCTCTTCCCCAAGGCATTGTTCCATTTGTGTTTGCTAGAGAGTATGGATTGCATCCTGACATACTCAGTACAGGGTAAGCATACATACTATACCTTATTTCTTGCTCTAATATTTGCTATTAATTATGTCTTATTATTATTATTAATCTCCATCATTCTAGTTTCAGTCTTATTATTATTATTATTATTATTATTATTATTATTATTATTATTATTATTATTATTATTATTATTATTATTATTATTATTATTATTATTATTATTATTATTATTATTATTTTTAAATGAACTAGATTCAATCTCAATTTTAGTCTCTTTATGTCCGTACGAGTTTAGCTCAATGCTTCAGTAGACAGTATTTGGGAGAAGAGACCAAGATTCAAACTTCGACGGCGACAGTTTGGGATTATGTCCAAAATGGACAGATCCCTTGCGCTTGCTGCGCTATTGAGTTATCGTGATTTACATCCCCCAAATGTCCTGTCGGGTCGGGATTTGGGACCCTTGTGGTTGAGGATTTCAACCTTTTTGGTAGAAGAAGAATTTTAGTCTCTTTATTATTATGTTTTTCAAAATCCACCAAATTTAGTCCTCAACTATTAAAATTAGAATAATATATGCTACATTTCCCTCCTAATTTCACTTCCTTACAAGGTAATATTTGATTTTTTTTTGTTTGAGTTATATTTGATTAATAAGTATGTTCGTTTTTTTAACACGAAATAAGGTTAACCAATTCACGGTAGCTAATGATTTTTTTTTTTTTTTAACCACATCAGAAGATGATCATTATAAAGTAAAATTAAGAGGGGATAATAGCATTACTTTTAAAAGTATATGAAGTTTTTAGTTTATTTTAGAATTAAAAGTGACATTATCAGTACTCTTGAACTAAACTTAGTCAAATATGATTAAAAGTGAAGAAACAAAACATTCTTTTTTTTTGAAATAAGAAACAAAACATATTAGTTAAACTGTTAAATTTATTTTTTATTAAAGCAATAATGTCTGTAACAATTTCAACAATTTTGGAAAGTAAGATCATGAAAAGATCAATATTCTTTCCTCCTTTTTTTGTTTTGTTTTGTTTTTTGTTTTGTTTTTTTTTTTTTTTGTTTTTTGTTTTTTGTTTTTTGTTTTTTTTTTTTTTTGTTTTTGATATTTTGTATTTTTTTTAATGATTTTTTGTTCTCTTTGCAGGGTAATATTTGGCATGCTAGTTTCTTTACCCGTGACTCTGCTCTACTACATACTTTTAGGCCTATGATTAATATATTATATATATGACAAGTCCTTAGCTAGGGTGGTTATTTAGGGTTTCTACTCATGTAAGAAATGCTTTGAAGACCTAGGGACACAGAAACCTTAACGAAATCTTTAGTACCCAAAATATATTGTATTTAAGGGTAAATTAGAAATATTTATTTGCAAGAGGGGAACTATAATTCATGGTTAGTTTTGGTTAAATGTGGTAAGAGTTATTATACATGTCTCCTAAAAAGCTAGAAACCTTAACAAAATAGTCTATACAATTTAGAATATATGGGGTGTTTGATAAATAGATGTTAACTTAGCTTATTTGGTTAGTGGGTTTGACTAGTTGATATCATTAGCTGCTTGTAGAAAAGTGTTTGGTAAATTAGCTGTTAGTTGATTACCTGAAAAATGACTTTCTCAAAAAGCTAATCAGAAAAATTGTTTTGATGAATAACTTTTTAAATTTTAACATTTTGGAGCAATAAGCTGTTACAAAAAGTCAATTAATCAAACACTCATATTGATTTTTTTTTTTTTTTTTTGAATGCAACACTCATATTGATTATTTAACCAAATCAAACAATTAATATAATAGTGGTCAAATAAGCCAAAATTAACTAATAAGCTAACTATGTTACCAAACAAGGCCATAATGTATTTAAGGGTAAACTTAGAAATATTTATTAGACAGGCGAAACTATAATTTATGGTTAGCTTTGGCTAAATGCAATATGGATGATTAAGTGTCTGTTATTAATTTTTAAAAATGCAATTTTCTTTATAAATAGGTATATATGTATGTATTTGTCAATACACATTGGACAAATTGACAATAATACAAATGTAATTTAGTATTCAGATAAAAGTTTCAACACGATATAGTTTTGTAATATTATGGATTTAATTGTTTTACAATAGGTTTAATTAATTAATCTAACATGGTTAAAAAGTGATAATTAATCAATTAACTCAATTAAAAATATAATTCGGTGTTACGATGAAAGATTGTACCTACTATTATAAATAAAAAATAAATACATAAAAAAACATTATATTTTAACTAAAAAGTATTATATATCTCACGTGAAATGATTTTAAACAAAACTTTCTCAAAATATGACAACTTTTTATTCACACCACAAAGGTGCAATAACTTCTCCATAAATTTTTTTTTTATTTAATTAGTGCTAATAAATCGATTAGTGGTGACCGAAAGGGAATTTAATGCACGTGTTATGATGATTAATCATTGAGGTTGAAAGATTGATTTCTAGTCATTAACTCATTATTGAAGAATGTTGTGCTAAACATTAAAAATAAAATAAAAAATTCTTGACGGGAGATAGAAAAAGGTAACTGCGAGTTAAATTTCTGAAAATTTTAAAAACAAAAAATGTATTTGTTTAGCACTATTTTTCATTTTCATTTAAAAACTACGGAGTATTTTTTTAAAAAGTTTTTCTAATTCAATTGAAACTACAGTGTATCTAAACCGATATTGCCTCACGTATTGTTTTATATATTATCAAATGAAACTGCAATTATATCGAAATGATACTATAGTTGTGATGAAATGAAACTGTAGTGTATATAAAATGAAACTGAATAACATTTCACATATTTGAGTATATATTGTGCAATGAAGCTGTAGTTATATCGAAATGATCATGTACTTGTGTTTTAATGAAACTATAGTGTATATAAAATAAAATTAAATAATATTTTCACAAATTTGAGTGTATAAATGTCGAATGAAACAGTAGTTATATTGAAATGAAATTGTAATTGTGTTGAACTGAAACTGCAGTGTATACACATCTATTATTAAAAAAAATTACATTACATTTATCATGAAAAAAAAAAATTAATCATTTTATCAATATAGTGTTGAACATTACATAAATAATTAATATGCAGTCTAACTATTATCTTAAACACTTTTAGTTGAGACGAATCCTTAGTTCACCCGATAAAAAAACGATTATGAACACACCCTTCAATTATCAATATATATTAAATATACTCTAATAAATTAGTGTGTTCAAACAAAGAGATTTGGAGTAATTTTTGGGATGGAGAGAGTATGTTTTTAAGACTCGTTTAGCATACATAGTTTATAAGCTAGTTAAAAGCTAAAAAACAAAGCTAATAGCTAAAATTGAAAAGCTAATAACTAATAAGCTAATTGATTGAAATTAAGGTGTTTGGTAAAATTATCTGTTGAATAAGATGATAAATGTAAAAAGACATAAAACATGTTTTTATAAATTTATATATTCAAATTTAAATATTGATATGTATTGCAATTTAAAGTATATATATATATATATATATATATATATATATATATATATAGAAATAGATTAAAGATGAAATGTTTTAATATATTGTTTCATACTATCTATTTATTTTAATCTTGTATATTCATTAGATATCTAAATAGAGTTCTTGGTAGTTCCTGCCTTTATAAACAAGTTGGTAAACAATTGAGAGACAAACATTAAATTGTGTCATTTTTATCTACATCTACATCTACAATCTACAATTCTAATAAGAGCCAATAATATTAGGCTTTTAACCAGAACAAAAAAATGTCGGTCCTATTGTTTCTTAAAATGAATGGTTCATATTATACTATTGTTTCTTAAAATGAATGGTTCATATTATTTTTATTTTAATATTTTTTATTGATTTTCCTTATTTACCCTCTATTATATTATTTTCTTCCCTTAAATAACTTAAATTCCGTTAGCATAAACTTTAGTAACGGAATATTCCGTTAAGTATTTATTATTTTAACTTACACATTAATTTCTATAAGAAAAGTCTTAATTTCGAACCACATTCTAATTAGAGTTGGCATAATTGTTAAACATATACTACGAATATGTTAAAATATATTTAAAATATATATAATATAAAATTTAACATAAACTTTGTTCAAATAATTAGTCTGACTAAATACATAACATTCAAAGTTAAGCATCAAATATTATAAATCAAGAACTTTAAAAATCATTTGATCAGAAAAAAACTTAATATTCTTTTGATTATTTAGATCAGAAAAAAAAACTTAATATTTCAATTATACTTTTGCATTAATATTTTTTGTATGTATTTTTTTTTAATCAATGATTGCATTATTGTTGATGAAAAGTATATACGCCACTTTATTACTCTTATTAAACTAAATAATAGCTACAACAAAAAATAATACATATCCAATTAATTAATTTTGAATTAGATGTCTATAATGCCTTTATTTAAAAAAAAATTATTCATTATAAAAAATTTAAAAATAGATATAATTTCATTAGTTATATTATCTTTATTTTCTACAATTTATCAATTTATCAATTTATTATATTCACTGCATTGTCCATTGTCTTCTTTTTGTTCAATACTTTCACATGATAACCTACGACACACATCTCACAATGCATGAAACATGTAGGGGAAAACTACCACTACCAAATATCGTTCAATATTTATTTACATATGCATGAACATCTCCGATATAATATTACGTTGATATACTTTGAAATACTTATTTAAAAATAATCATTGGGCATTATCCCATTCGCGCAAAGCGCGTAAAAAAACTAGTAAATAAATTAATAAGAATTAAAAAATATTGTTAAAATCAATAGCTTATTTGAAAAACGCTACTTGCGTTTGCCTAAAAGGCTTATAGGTTGGTTACATCAAAATTAGACAGTGATAAGCTTAGGGTTTGGGATATTATGTAGACAAATAGTATATTATTCAACTAAACACTTGCCACAGTAACAGTATAAGAGAACGAGAAGAGAGTAACTCTTTGCGAAATCATATAAGATTTATTGCATTAGGATAATATGTACTGTACATAGCAAAGCGAAATGAAACTTTGGGCCAATGCTAAAATAGGTTCTCGCAAAACTGACTATTTCCTCGAGAATAAACTGCCAAAACTGAAGCAATATCATACTGGCATTCTGTTCTTGGAGCCACAGCGGCCTGGAAGAAGCTGTCGCACCAGTTATTTTGAACTAGAAACCAAATTCTTCAAAGGGTCGCTATTTTGAACCAGAAACCAAATTCTTCAAGGATGTCAAGGGTGACCTGTAACCATATACTTGCATATCTTTCCAGAAGGCCATAACTGTGGTTGTTTTTGAATGAATGAACGAAGCAAAACAAAAGGAAAAGGTCAGGCTGCTTCTCAATCACCCAAACAAGTTCTTAGTAAAGGTCTAAAGGAGATATGACTATATAATGTTAGTATATCCCTGCCTGGGAAACCTCGTCATTTGTTATCCCAACCAACTGTTGGTGAGACTTCTTTTGCCCCAAAAGGTTGAATCCCAATCCCAAGGCCCCCACACCCTAGCCCAACAAAGTATTTGGAAAGGATGTAAATCATGGTTACTCAGTAGCTCAGCAGATAGGGCCAAATGCCGGTGCGCACAAAGAATCTGCCCACTTTGGGCATAATCCCCACAACGCCACTACCAAGTTTCGAACCTTGGGCTCTTGCCTCAAATACTGCCTACTGAACCAGTGAGCTAAGTCCGTACGGACAGGGGGAGGGGCAACAAATAGCAGAATAACACACAAGACAACTGTGATGCCATGCACTTCCGGAAACATAATAATGTGCACTTGTTCATAAAGACAAACTAAAACTTCAATATTTGCATGTAATACGGATTGTGAAAGTTCAAATTATTAGATGTCATGAACATTATAGTTATATTCATTAACAGTGTGGTGCACATTGCTGTTACTGACATGCAGTATAGTTTGTGAAGGACCTGATGTTCGCATTAACTTAGAAACAATAAACAACGATCAGAAAGCAATGCTAAGAAGACGTACCTATCCATGCTACAAACGCAACTGTAGCAGACAAGAAAAATTCCTTGCTAATGACTTTTAAACTGAATACACAACAAAGCCTACTTTAGTAAAATTATGGAATAGATTCTTTCAATAATTTCAAAAACTTTAATACGTATGCATAGTACCTATACAAGCAAACAAGATTTCCCCATCCATAAAAAATGCACGCCCAACTAGAACCTGCGAACCTGTCATTTATGAAGAATTTTAAATGTGAGACAGGATATTTTGATGCCAAAAAGAAAAAACAGAAACAAAAGCATGTTGATATGTCCTTGTATACACCACTTACCAGTAATTAACCAAATTAGTTCCATTTCATGGCTAATGAAGACAAATGCCATTAATTGATAGTTCTTACCGAGTTTCATAGTATCATGAAGATCATTGCAATTACCAAATTCAGACAATCATTAGCATGAATGGCAAAAAAAAAAGGAAAACAAAAAAAAAAAACAAAACCAACATGAAAAAGGAAAAGAGGACCAAAATTATCCTCTTCAGACAATCACCTAACACACACACACACAAAAAAAAAAAAAAAAAAAAGAAGCAAAAATTAAAAAGAAAAACAGAGTACACATGCCAAAAACTTTTTGGTCGATAAAGGTGTAGCTTGATATACAAAACAGACAATGAAGAGATGAACATAAGCGCAACAAGAAAGAATACTAACATTTTCCACCTAAAATGTAAGCCAAATTAAACTTCCAATCCAGAAACATATTTTACTTTTTTTCTTGTAAAAAAAAGGATATCAATAATTCTTTTCACTATAACTATTTTAAAGATGGGAGGATGTTGTATGTTCATGCTTGCTATGGTAAATTGCACTTTCACTCGGTGACATTTAAGGAATGGTTAAAACACTTAAAGTAGATCCTATAGCTTTAGGCTATATTCATCATCACCAACAATTATGCACACTAATACAATAACTGGATTAGGCTAGAGTTGTAAATTTAACTGATCATTAAGCTATTAAGGGAAATAAGATGTAATGTTGTTCCATTATTGACATAATGTAAGTAACATAAGTTCTTCTGTTGAGCAAAGGACATTACTTTGCTAAATAAAAACAAAAACTCACTAATACAATAACTGGATTAGGGAAACCCCAACTTTAAAAGGTATGTGATGCCTGGTCATAGAAAATAATATAAGATAACGTACTCCCTTTTACATCCCTACAACACTAGTTATTTAAGGAATAAAATTGTGCAGTGATGAGAAAAAAATGTGCAACAGTTGAGCTCTCTCATAATAATACACAAACAATTGTCCTGCCCAAATTAAGATCCCTTACCCACCTTAATGTTTAGACAGTGAAGTAAAATCCCATGCTTTCCCTAACAAGCTATGCAGCTAATCAGTTATGGCCCTTTACCCTTCTCAGAAAACAGCAGAATCAATAGAATAACTCAATTCATGTAAATAAGAAATGCTAGCTGAATAAATGCTTTGTGTTTAAAAATATCCCAGTTTGTTGGAATTCTTCAGTCCTTGAGTTTATACATTATAATTTTATAAATTAGAACTCAACCCACAAACAGAAAGATTTAGCCAGATACATTATATTGGAAGGTTAGGAGCATTCAATTTACAAGTTATCACAGACAAACAGGTTCTGGGGAGATAAGATAATGACTATGAACATCATCAATTCATTACTACCATAGTACCATTGCTGATATTTTAATGATGTATCAGATTCCTATTAGACAGAGATCTACATTAGAAAACCAAACTAAAAATAATGATTATGTTTGTACCACATGAAGTCCCGAGTAAGGAGTGCTCGAGGAATCATTAGTCCATTCCCAATCATGGCCAGCAACATTGAGACAGCAGATAAACCCTTGATGTTATCAGGATTAAGAATATTTGTCCACTGCACAGGAAACAATAAATAAAGGTGAGAAACCTCAGAGATGTTATTTTATTTTTAACTTTTTAATAATTGAGGACTAGACAAAACGCACCATTTGTGCAACTGGCATCCACATAAAAAGAAGAGTGGCAGTCCACCCAGATAGTGATGCAATGAATTTGACACCTTGCTCTGACAGTTTACCCATGCGAGCCTGTATACAGGATTAACAAATTCACGTAAGTGCCAGATTAAATTTGCACTCACATTATATGCTAAATCTGGTAAAGATGCTCTTTAATTTCAAACCTAGCAAAAACAATGCTTATGCGTGGCATATTTGGTTAATGGAAAAATAAATGTGAAGCATTGATTGAAATTGACTTCACATATAGAAAATGTTATAGCCAAATCTTGTGTGAAGACTAGAAAAAGCAAAGGAAAGAAATCAAATCAAACTGGTATATCAGCTCAACTCAAAAATGCCTTATTCCCAATCCAGTGGGGTTGGCTATATGAATTTTATTTCTTTGTTCATTTTCCATTTATGCAATAATCCATACTTTAGTTGCAAGTTTGCAACCTTTTGCACTAGGCTATTTTCTTAACAACCAGGCAATTAAAAATGTAATGCCCTTCAACAGCCCATCATAAAGAAATTCAAAGATGAAGATAAAGAAACCTTCAAGAGGTGCACCTTTAACATACATGACAAGGGAAGTGAAGGCATTGCAAATTCTTCTACTAAATGGTGTTAAATATTGAAGGAAGAAGCTCTCTGAAGCATTTTCTTATAGTGTATTCTACTAGCTCTGCACATGTATGTATACATTATACATATCTACAAGACACCACATCTACACGCAAATGGAAGGGAAAAGAATGAGGTAAGAACCCTAACAACCCTTGACAGTCTCTAACACTCACCTAGTCACCTCAAGAGCATAGATGTTGTTCATGTCCAACTTGTTACAAATATACCCAACCCTATAACTATTAAGACCTTTGTAAAAGAATCTACTAACTGATTTCCACTCCGTATATACAAGGTAGATATTACGCTTAGCTGAATCTTTTCCCATACAAAAGAGTAGTCTAGTTCAATATGCTTTGTTCTTTCATGAAAAACAGGATTATTCAAGACGTGCATAGTAGCCTGATTATCATACCACAAACTTAAAGGCTTGCTTACCTTTGCATATGGTGCATCATTTTAGCTCACAGGTCATATAAGTTATTGCTCTATACTTGGATTTCACGCTAGACCTCACTATGATGCTCTGCTGCTTGCTCTTCCATGATATGAAATTATCACCCACAGTCAAGAAGAGGAAGAAACATTAGACAAAGTTCCCATGGAGCAAGTAGATGGTGAAAGCTCTTAAGTGGATGGAAGCTGTGATAGCATTTTCATCTAGTTGAATGTAGCCAGCAATCCCAGCATTAGCAAACTTTGACCACTACTGATTATAGAACTGCAGTCTCCAGAGCTTTGTAAACTTATATTGAAATTGTCATGGCTCTCCACAATTGAAACATGTCCTTGATCCCCCACATCCTCCTCAATGGCCTCCTCTAAAACTACCACACCCAAGACTCCCACTACGGCTAGCTCCATTCTAGCCACACAATGCTTTTCAATCTTATTTCCTTGTTACACAAGCAATTTTCTAAAATGTTTCACCAGTGTTGGTGTTCCCTGACATTTTGACCTATAGAGAACACCTTATCCAAGGATTCCAAGTCCTTATCCCATACTGCCCATAGTAGTTGAGATCTCAAAAAATCATACACATTATCCAAGTCTGAGATCCAACAAAAACCTATTAACTTATCACAGCATTCTTTCATTTCTGTAAAACATTTGAAATAGGCATAGCAGCATAGAATTATTCACTTTCTTAAAATCATAGCAATGGTCCCTGAAATCTCGCACCTCTGCCTAGGGAGATAGACTTATTGGGACAATTGATACAGATTTCTTAAATTATTAGATCCTGGTAAACACTTAATCAAAAACTTTCATACCTCCTTCATAGCTGTTCAGTGTTGTATGGACACTATTGCCTTTCTATCTATATAGTTGATGATACAAGAAAGTAAGGCCTTATCATCTTCTTTCCAAATTTCTGCTGAATTATCGTCATCTTGACTCTTGAGTACATTCTGTCTAAATAACTTTCCTTTCCCAGACCACCCAAATTAACTTTTATCGTAAGTTTTTATTCTCCAAAATTAAATCCATCAGATGAAAGCAGTACATCAATTAATTTGGATGGAGCTCACATAATAGTAATCCTTTATCTTCTGCCATTTACTTCAATCAAAAATCAAAACTCCCCACTGAAATTAAAACTACTAGGTCATAAATCACACAACACCAATTTTAACAACACCTCAGATAACTTTGAAAAGTGAACTAGATTAACTCAATAGGATGAGTCTGCTGGTGCCAACCTTGGCCATAAAAGTGGTCAGAAATTGGAATCTCCCTCACACACCAGTGCATCATTGCATTGAAGCTCAGCCATGATGGTGGTGGCTCCTTTGGTGGCATGATTCCTCCTCCAATGTCACCACTGAATGATGGGCATAGCCCACTGGCCGCCACCTCATAGTCAGCCACTCCAACTCTGATACCATGTTAAATATTGAAGAAAGAAGCTTTTAAAAGATTTCTATTTCTTATTTTCTGTATATTCTACTCTTGGTACATGTATATATACATATTTACAAGACATCCCATCCAGGCATGAATGGAAGGTAGAGGAACGAGGTAACAACCCAAACCTCCCTTGACTGTCTCTAACAAATGAGAAATGGACCACACATCACAAAGAGAAGGCACTACCATGACTGTTTCTTATGTCACAAGTAAGACTAATATCTCACTCTCTCCTCCCACCCAAGGTGTTCTCCTGATGGGTCAAAGTAGATTCACAAATAGTACTCTGAGTCTCTTAAGTTCAAAATTGTTTTACTTAATGCTTGAATGCATGCCTCTCTTCCCAATTTCGGGGTGAATTGTTTCCTATTTTGAACATCCATCTAATACTTCAAGCAAAATAAGACATATTGGGGTAGATTATAAATCTATTAGGATAGAGCCAGTAATGATTACCATAAGCACAGCTGTCACTGCCATTACAAAAGATATTGCACCCGGCAAGATTGTGTTTGGAACATATGGGAGGAAGGTTGACCACATGACCTGTACAGAGACCCAAAATAAAAGGGAGACAAATTACATAAAATCTAGTATGTTACATATGTTATATGTAAAATACTTGAGAGACAGAAAGAATTACTTGTGGAAGTGCAGAGAGGCCTGCAATGGTTATAAAGTCTTCCCAATAGCGCCAGAGTCCAGGATTGAGCAAGTAAAAGTAATTCATAAAATTTATAACAAGACCACAAGCAACAACAAAAGATGTCACTATAAATTGAGGAAAAGGCATAGCTCCAGCCATAGCAAGCTGTAAGATTACAACATATGTTGATATAACTCCTAATGTCTGCACCCCCGCCACCTCCTTTTCCCTCTTCGTTATGAAGTATGATAGCAAAGACAAATTCCCTAGTAGTCCAGTGAACATCCCCTGTAGTACTATCATTGTTAGCCTTTTACAAACCTAAATTTTTGGTTTAAGAGAAAGGATATGCTAATAAAAGGAGAAAGTATTACCAGCCATGGAACAGCGAACAAAGCAGACTTATTTCCTGCAAGAAGATTACGAGCATTGAGTATGATTTGGGGCAGTTGCAACAGTAGAAATGGTACATTGGCAGCTCCTGCAAACTTTGCAGTCAATGAATCCCATTGCTTAAAGTTGTCACTACTTTTCAAGTCCTGTGATCCATGGATTTATCATAAATGGTTTGGTTAACCCATTATTTATACCATACTTGACTGAATCAGAAGTGCAAGAAAACATACAATCAGTATGACAGTAAAGACATAGATTAATAATCTCTGTGTCTCATTTTATTTGTCCAACCATTGATTTGGTGGTAAAAAATTATTCTGTATGTATTATGAAACTACATTAAAACATACTAGTCTGAAAAAAAATCAAAATCTCAAAACATCGAAAGTAGCAAAAGTTTGGTTAAAACTTAAGTTTGGTTGACTCTTGGGAAACAAAATACAATAGGTAAAATGGGACAAAGGGGGTGACAGATTGTACGCAAAAGAGTAATACAATACCTGATCAGTGGAACCAGGTATATCTGAATCCAGTGCAGCGACTGGTTTGGGCTTGTGATGGTAAACTAAAGGACTGAAGAACAGAAATTTCTTAAAATTAATCCCATCACTGGGTTGATGTTTAATTGGATGAAGAGCATGACTTGATCGAGGATGCTGGACATGATTTCTCAAAATGCAGCAGTTAGAACGTTGACGAGTGCATAGGGTCACCTTAGGCACGGGATGCAATGAACATGCCATTAAATAACTCATGTACACAAAGGTTTACAAGTTTTTTTTTTTTTGTCAAGGCACTTCTTTTAGCAGACAGAAAGTTGAAGGAAACCACCAATTTCACAGGGGAAGGGTGAAATATGGCAAAAAGAAGAATGTAGACACAACTCCAGAAATATCCACATCAAACTCCAAGGTGAGGGGGCCAAACAAGAAGCACGGCTACTCCAAATCTATAACATTCAACAGGTTGGAATATTAGCATCAGAATCAAATAACTGTATTGATTATATTGCAGTTTAAGAAACAAAATGAAACCAGGGAGTACTGAAGAACAGAAAAAAGAATACGGGCATTACATCAAACAATGGCAGAGCAAAAAATTTCACAGAAAAAGAAAAACAAAATTCAGATATTGGCACATATCAAATAGCTGTAGAATGGAAGAATTCGCACACTAGGAGAAAATGAAAATGATGACAATCGAACTCCCCAAATTCTTCAGCATCAATCAAACACGTAAAAATCAGTTATAAACAAACACCCATATATACGCAAGAGGATGCACGTAAGCTCGAATCGCTATACATGATCCACAAAAGGTGGAAATTGGGCGGCGAGCTCGACGTAGTAAAGACGGAAAGTGGGCATAAACACTTACTTAAAATAAGCTCTCACTCTCTCTCTCGGGATTAATGGCAGAAAAACCAACGGTCAGAGAACGAGGTCCGTGGGTGCAGATGATTATGTTGCTGATGCTATGATCAGAATATTCAGGAGGCTAATGGGGAGGCCTCATTGGGCTTGGGTTTAGGTAATCATTAATCAAGATTCAAGAAAAAACTTATGAACTCTTTTGTTGACCCAATCTAGTTGTTGTTGAACTCTTTTTGGAAAATTGTAGCCCAAAAAATGTTCCAAGGGCGGGTTCTGTTCTGCAGGCCCGCCCAAAATAATGACAATCGTTATGCCATGAAATCGTGTTCACCATCCATGGTGAACACGGTTCCAACGGTGTTAGTGTACTGTTATTTTTCTTTTTTAATTAATCGCGTGACTATTTTTCTTCATTTTCACATTTCGCGGTTTCACTTTAATTTGTGGTGAGCAATGATTTCGGACATTCATAAATTATGAATCTATGCCTGCACATTCACTTTGGACTCGTGCCTACACATTCCCGTCCGAAACCATGACTGTTCCTCTGTAGCGCAAGCTTCTTCAACATTCATAAATTATGAATTTTCTGTTATGAGATTATGAATTTACAGTAAATTCATAATCTCATAACAGAAAATTCATAATTTAATAAATGTTTTTCTTTTATGCGATTATGAATTTTCTGTTATGAGATTATGAATTTACAGTACATTCATAATCTCATAATAGAAAATTCATAATATGACCAAACGCGAGCCGTTAACACCACATTAGCGAATTTTTTTTTTTTTTTTTTTTTTTTTTTTTTTACGTAAAAATGGCACCGTTTGGACCCGTGTTCACCATTCATGGTGAACACGTTTCCAGGGCATAATTTGCGAAATAATGAGTTGTTTAGCTTGAAAGGCAAATTATGCTGTGGACTCGTGTCCACTCTGCATTGTGGACACGAGTCCAAAACGACGGCATTCCAATTAAAAAAAATTGATTTTGTCTCACCGTTAAGGCGTTAACGGTGTTATTCGTTTGTGGAATTATGAATATACAGTTATGAAATTATGAACACAGAGCTTTGACATTATGAACTTACAATTATGAATATATAGTGATAACATTATGAACATAGAGCTCTAAAATTGTGAACATAGAGCTTCGAAAATTATGAATGTACAGTTACAGAATTATGAATGTACAGGTATGGAATTATGAATGTACAGTTATGGAATTATGAACACAGAGCTCTGACATTATGAACATATAATGATAAATTTATGAACATAGAGCTCTAAAATTGTGAACATAGAGTTTCGAAAATTATGAATTTACAGTTATTGAATTATGAATGTACAATTACGGAATTATGAATGTACAGTTATGGAATTATGAATGTACAATTATGGAATTATGAACACAGAGCTCTAACATTATGAACTTACAATTATAACATATAATGATAAAATTATGAACATATGCTCCTATAACGAAGCGGTCTGAATTTTTTTTTTTTAAAGGTGGAAAGTAACGGTGTCACTTACGGTACCGTTCCGTGTCCACAATGTATGCTGGACACAAGTCCATAACATAACGATTGAGCTTGAAACTGTTGTGAATTGGGCAATTCTACGAGAGTTCAAGTTCTTGTCGACTTAGTCCACAAAAACACGTATGTAATTGGTTTTCTTATAGAGACCAAAGTAGGAAATAATGAGTTACCGTCCATTAAAGCTAGACTGGGCTTCTCGAGTAGTGTGTGCCTAGAGGAGGGTTAGTTAGGGGTGACTGCGGTTCCGGTTTCGATTTAAAATCTCTGATTCCGATTCTGCAAATGGACAAACTGGAACTGGAATCGGAACCTTATAGTAAGGTTCCGGTTCATATCGGAATCGTCGATTCTAACCGGATTTATTTTTAAAAAATTAAAAAAACATTATAATTTTTAATTTTTCTGGTTTGGAACTGAAACTGCCGCTTCTGGTTCCTTTTCATCTCGAACCTTAACCGGAACCGTACAGACGATTCAATTCCTGTTCAACAGTGCACGGTTCGGTTCGAACTGAACCATAGTCATGCCTAGGGTTAGCCCTCTTCTGGAAAGAAGAATCGCATGTGTCTGGCAAATTATGTTGTGGACGCAGGTCTAAAACTGCGTCGTTTTGCTTTAAAATGATACCGTTTGAATTTGAAAAAAAAAATTCTTCCTTCTTTGCCGTTTGTCTTTAGAATTCGTTTTTCTATATTCACAATTTTAGAATTGAATATTCACAAATTTTTAGCTCTCAATATACAAAATTACAAAACTCAATATTCATAATTGCAAAATTCTATATTATGAACTCAATTTTTTGCTGCGAATATCAAGCTTTTTGCTTGTTCGCAGCAAAAAGCAACAGCAAGCAAAAAGCTTTCTGTGAATAGCAAGCAAATTTGCTGCTTGTTCGCAGGAAATTTTTTTTGCATAAATAATAAAGGGATAAAAATAAATATATGAGTATTTATAAAAGGTTTGAAATGTATATTAAAATTTGATAAAAAATTGATGATAAATTTGTCAGGTAGATAAAAGAAAAAAGTTTGTAGAAAAAAATTGAAAAGTTTATAGGGTTGGAGAGTTGGATATCATCTATTTATATTAATGAAGAAAAAATCACAGAAATCATATTATGATAAAGTCTATGAACATTGATAAGTTTTCGAATATAATATAGTCTTATAAACTTTTGAAAAGTCTGCATCGAATATCCGTAGATTTTTAAAAAGTCTTTAAAATTTAAATTGAATACCACCAAACTTTAAAAGTCATTAAAAGTCATTGAAACTCTTTAAAAGTCTTGATTGAATACACCCCTTAAATTATCAAAATACTTACTGGTTAAAGGAAGGGGATACCAACTCGCGTTACTTTCATAACTTAATCTGCAAAAGGAAAAGGAATAACAGAATTAATAGGCTAAAAATGAAGATGGAGTATGGGTCGAAGAAGGCAGGCCTTTGGATAATCTTATGCTAAATTACTTTCAGAATAATCTTATTCATTTAATTATATTTAATTAAATATGGGCAATAACATCCAAAATCATAATTTAAATACTGAATACATTATGGAATAAATGTACAATAATGACATTAATGAGTTACTTTTAAATTTGTAAGCATGTTTGAAAAAATTGCTAGGCGCTCGTGTATTTTTTATTTTTTAAAAATTTGTTTAATTTTTTTTAATTTTTTAAGACTACATAATTATAAACTATTTAATACTTTAATAGTTAATACTAAAATATTAAATATTTACCTAAAAAAAATCTAGAGTTTGAGCAATTTAGGGTTATTTCGCTCAAAACCATATTGTTTTGAGTAAAATAATCCATTTTAAAAGAATGGAACAATAGCTAATCAGTCAACTAGGCGACCTAGTCGGTGCCTAGAAGGCTTAGGCGGTCAGCGTCTAGGCGTCTTAGAAGGCGCTTAGACGGTCAGTGGCCTAGACCACTGATTATGGTGATACGCTAGGCGGCCGATCAGCGCGTAGGCGCCAATTAATCAGTGCCTAAGCGGGATTAATCAGTGCCTAATTGGGATTTTTTATACACTACTGTTTGTAAGTAGTAACTAGGCCTCATTGGTACAATTACGCGCGTAACCTAATATTGACTATTGAGCATGAAACTAAATAAGCTAGCTAGCAAGAATTTCAGATCGCGCGCACTTGAATTGCACGCCATCCCAACTAGGATTCTGATACTATACACCTCTGATCTATGTAAATTAAACACTGTACTAAATAGTATGTATGGTATATATTATTCCAAAAGGCTGAACCCCAACCCTAAGGGCCCCTGAACATGAATCATAGAGGCTAGACCGGTGCTCACTGTCGCTGGTGAAACTCGATCCCTGGTTATTATTCCAAAGTTTCACCTCTATGACCAATTGAGCTACCCATGCGGGCGTATGTATGATATATATGTATAGCGAATTGAATGTCACGAGATGATCGATGCGTTTTCTCACGCGGTGTTAGCAAGCAAACCAAAGCTTAATATAATATATATATATATATATATATATATATATATATATATATATATATATATATATATATATATAGGAGAGTGCTCATATGTGGTCATGTCATTAGGTGTGGTCGTGTGGTCGAATCTGTGTCCTTGAATCAGTTTAATCTAACGACAGTGGTAATTCTGAGAATTTTCGCGCGTTTTGGTAAGTGGGGGTGTTATGGTAATTACAATGGCCATTTATAGCGGGTGGGTTCCAGAATACACCAACAGTGTTGACAACATATACCAATAGTGTAATAAAACACACCACAGTGAAACACACCAATGGTGTATTCCCGTGTTATGGTAATTACAGTGGCCATTTATAGCGGTCGGGTTCCAGAATACACCAACAATGTTGACAACATGCACCAATAGTGTAATAAAATACACAACAATGTGATTTTCCCTATTCCGGTGTTTTATGACGAGTTTACCCTTGCAGTTCGCTGGGTAGGAGAATGTGCGCGAAAATACTGAAAAAATCTTGATTAATATGATTCATTGGATCTATCTAATCTAATGGCCTATAATTGACCATATGACCACACCTAACAACATGGCCACATGTGATCACCTCTATATATATATATATATATATATATATATATATATATATATATATATATATATATATAATGCTTTATAGTTTTTCTTTTCCGTGAAATATTATTACTTATTTTTCCGGTTGTTAAATATGTTTGTCATTATATTGTAGGCTGAAGTTGATAAGCAAAAACGATTACGAAATGAGTCATCACTAACCGCTTCAAGGATAGTGAGAAGCTAGCTAGCTAGGCCACTCTAATTCATCCAACAACTAACATTGTTTTAGCCAAAGAAAGCTAGCAGCTAGGATTTCACTAGCGCACTTGAATTGCACGCCATGTTAGCAAGCAAAGCTTAATATAATCATCAAAACTGTACGTTGAAATAAAGGTTTTAGCAAACACAAGTATTGAAATTGCATATATAATATATAAAAAGAAGATTTGGCAAATGGCAAAAGAGTTGAACTTGTGACATCTATAGAAAATCTTGACCATCAGAAGAGTTTTTTATTTGAAAGAAGTC